TATATTCTCTAAAGCTGAACTATGACTTTGACTCTAAAGCTAAACTATGACTATTATTGAGCAAATAATGTCTCCCATCTTGGGACAATACCCCTGTCACTAAAAACTTTGCCTGAACAAGATCCATCAGAGCTTCATGCTGTCTGAAGTCACTTCCTAGGCTGTGATGTTGGCATGTCATCATCAGCAGTTGTGCATGCAAATCTGCGAATTAGTAAGGTCTCTGCAAACTCCTTATGAACTCACCCTTACGAAAAAGAAGTTTATTCAAGTGTGCTATAGTGTACTAAAAATGCTAATACAAGTATTTAATTAGTAAACTATCAGTATACCTATAAGTTCACTTTTGGTGTAGTTGCAGTACAGACTAAACATTTTGATGTAAACTCGTTGTGTACTCAAAGTTTACTACTGTTATACTTAAAGTATACTTGCTAAAATAAACTTGAAGTATACTACTTTTTGGTAAGGGCACCCATGCCACCGACCCAGCCAAATCAGCTTCTGGTTCTTCCACAACACATGCTACGGGAGGTAATCCTTGTTTGGCTTTACTTGAAGTTTGATGGCACTGCAGCTGTGCAAGGGATATTTTATGCAATATTCCTAGTTTCTGGCACAACAACCACATTTGTTTACCACTGAAGAAGCTAAGGTGGTGTTTGTCATGTCGCTTCTCTCTGGGAAGGCTCTGGGCTGGGCACCATCAGTGTGGGTAAGAGAGGATTACAGATTACTTTCTCTCTTTTTCAAGCCAGACTCAGAGATGTATTTGAACATCCCGAGGGTGGTAAGGAGGCAACCAAGAAATGTAACATTTATAAGTTGAATGCTGCGGAGCACAATTATGATGTTGGCAACAGAGAGTTACTAGACATGAAGGCTGCTCTTAACGAATGGAAGCACTGGTTGAAGGGAGTAAAACATCCTTTTCAAATACTAACTGACGATCACAACTTGGAGTACATTTGTTCCGCCAAGAGCTAGGCTGAATCTTCGAGAATGCCCTACTGACATGATGCATTTTCTGGATGTTACTGTCTGCTGCCTCAAGTTCTTAGATGTATCCATACCTCCTTATGTTGTGGTCACCCTGGCATCCAAGCAACTATTGAATTTTTCCAGAACTATTTCTGGTTCTCATATCTATGACAATGACACAGCCAACTTTGTGCACAACTTTGACATTTGTGCAAATCTAAAATCCTCTAAACAACCCCCAGCATGCATTTTCAACATTTCACTGTCTTTTACATGTCATTGTCTGTTTTTAATCTGGTTATCATCCCCAATCCAATGGACAAACTGAGTGTCTCAACCAGGAACTAGAACGTTTCCTTCACTCACACTGCCAATTCAACCAAGATGACTGGGGTCAATTGGACTTGGACCAGACAGACCTCATCCGACATGTCCAGTACTCTGTCCATGTTCACTTCCTGGGCTACATCATTGACCCCAATGGCATATCAGTGGATCAGGTCAAGGTACAAGCCATTCACCCCTGGCCACAACCCATCACCCTAAAAGAACCGTAGTGCTTCCTGGGCTTTTCCATCTTCCATTCCACTCTTCTGAAACAACCACCTTTGCTCTTCAGTCCATCCTTTCTCCTATCAGTTCCATCTAGTGGACTCTGGACCAATTTTTTGCATTAACTAAAATTGAACTTGAAAACAATTGTTTTAAAATGACAATTGTTTTTAATAGAGTTGTCTCAGTCTCTGAAAAGCCTGTCTGATCTGACGACGAGTTGTATTACAGGCTTTCACTTTCCTTTTTTGCTTGTAAACTCTTCTCTGAATGAGGTTTCTTTGTTTTAACAGCTAATGATTCCTCAGGTGGTTGCCTTTTTTAACAATCTATTGTTTGAAATATGACCTGGCAGCTCAAATTCTAAATTATAATCATACCCTTGTGTATCATGGTAAGGAGAATATAAATTAAGTATTTATAAACTGTCGTTTTTTTGTTGTTGTTGTTGTTGTTTTTTTTCTTTTGTTTTGTTTGTTTCGTTTTTTTAAAGCTTTGTTCAAAAATCTCCTCATGGATTAACCCCCACTCACAACTGCTGCGTCTGTCACTTTTTCTCTTGACAAGAAGTGCATTTATTCAATCGCAGAACGACTGAGAGCGTAAAGCGTGAGTCAAGTGAGCGCGGGGGGAAAAAAACGGCTCTTCAATTGCACGCACAAAGGCGCCGGCACGCGTTGTTGCCTGTATCATTTCATATCAAAGCACGAAATCAACTGTAATATATTTTATATGAGTCACATTTAAGAACATGTCTCTGAAATGGTTTTCAAAACTGTCCTGGAGTAGCCCAGCACTGTCTCACTCATCTAACACATCCGATTTAACTCGTCAGCTCATTAATAGAGACTTTAAGACCTGAAGTGGGTCAGAAAAGGTAAAAAGAGTTGAGAGAAAATATGATGTGTGTCAGATGCGCGTCACGTTCAGCAGCAGCAGCTCTTAAAGAAATAACAGCCAAAACAACCTAATAACCAGCTGCTGTGATGTCTATTAATCAAAGGACAAAGAAAAAAAAGAGAGGGAAAAATATTTTTTATAGCTTTAAGGATTCATCTATATTTAATTTACAATTTAGTGTTTGATAACTTCAATTTCCATTTCTGTATATTTCTGCTGCACAGGGCACAGGTAAATATGACATTTATTATAATGGGTTTATGTGAAGATTGTAGATTGAAGATTTTAAAGTCTAATAAATATTAAAATTGATAGCTCTTAATTATACTGTAATGTCTATAGTCAATGGTTAAATATTAGGGAGGGGGGGATTTTATAGCTAAATCAGTATTGGTATCATTGATACTGGCCTTAAGTCATAAAAAAGATGCCATTAAACAAATATTACAAAACAGTATACTATCTTTATGTTGTTTGTACATTTAATTTGAAGATTGAATGTGAAATTATTGCAATATAAAAGTATATTTAAAAACTTTAATGTTAGGTGGGATTAATCGCGTTTAATTTCAGAAAAATGTGCAATTAATTAATTTTTTTTAATCGATTGACAGCACTAATATATATATATATAATAACATACAGACTCAAACACATATACTGTACTGTATAGAAGCTGGAGGGTTATAATGTCGCTTCATACCAGCTAATCCAAGAGGCCTTTTTGTTGTTGTTTTTAATGTTCTCCCTGTGTACTGTGGATTATGGGATGCCATTTTTTGAGGTAAGTAGTTAGACATAATAATTAATGACAAATGTGGGGGTCAACTCCTTTATATACAGGAGACTTGCACACCTGTAGATTTAGAGATGAAGCTGGTTGCCAACAACATATATGTAAACCGTTCTTTGACAGGAATACTAAGACATTGTCTGACAAAGCACATACACAGCATGTTTCCTTGGATATCAGTAAAACGTTTAAAAAAATTCTGGTTAGAGGGGAAAGCCCTTGTTCATTTTTCCCCATGTCACTCAGAAACACCTGTGATGTGGTGCTCATTTTCCTACTTGAGGCGATTAATTATGACATCATTGCGATGGGGAAATCAGTGCAATGACAGATCAAGGGTGAAGTTCTCGAAAAACAGGCTTAAAGTCATTAAGCGATCAACCATGACTTCATGAAAAAGGATTTTGCTCATTTGCGTGTGTGTGTAAGTGTGATTTGGGAGGAAAAAAACATGGAGACAATTGGAAAAAAATTGATACATTGCAATAGAGCAATTTGTTATAGTAGCCCAAGTCTTGGCAATGTGTGGGCGTTGCTGCGGGTGTGAGACATTTTTGTCTTGCTGCCAAAACAACTAATATAATACACCATCACAACATCCTAAGGTAAGTGGCACTTAATGCTAAAAATCCAGGAGAAAGGAAACGTAGACCCCAATTCTTTTCAACTAAAAAAAAAAGTAGTTTTCCTGTTGAAGTACTGAATATCTTACCACAAACCAGAACATCACACTATTGTTCTGAAGCCATTTGGCATATATAAAAAAGACTTGACATTACTACTTTATATAGTAACTACACATTGTGTCAAAGCAATTACGACTAAAATTGGATTAGATTATTATCTATTATTTGACAGAGTTTGTGCAAACTAAATCTAAATAATATACCAGTCTTGAGGTGAAACATATTGTTACTCATACGCTGTGTCTAACTATCCCTATCACTTTGGGAGGCAGTGAAGGTCAAAGATAATAGAAAATAGAAAAGACTACAGGATATCATTGATAAAAACAATGTGGCAGAATTGCTCTATTTTAATAATGACAACTAAGACAGTGAAGTGAATATCAGTGAAGATTTTTTTTTTCTTTTTCTTTATACTTCTGCAAGCAGAAATTACAAGGGTTATACTATAGTAAGCACAATAGGTGCCAGATTCCCCAAACAGGGCTATGTTTCCCAAAAGCAATGTAAGCCTAAGTAGATTGTAGAAACCATTAGCACACTGGCTTATACTGCTTTTAGTCAAGTTTTTTCTCTATATGTCAAATGCTTTGCGAAGACAATGTCTCATTTTTGGTTTGGGGTTGGCACCAAGGAGATATATTATACCTAGAGAAAGCTATCCATTAGCATCCCCATTCTTTATATGCATCAGTGGAAACATAAAATATTACATGTTCACATAATTCATGAATTCAACCAGCTCAATTTGGATATAACTTTTGAAATGGAGCTGTGGCAGAACTGGGAGGGATACAGTTATAAAGTAACTCCACCTCTTATCTAACGCCCAGCATATGCTGCTCTCTCAGCCTCCCACCCCTAAACCATCACAGCTCTTTAAAAGCAGCCCATGTTGCATTTTTTGGGCAATTTTCATCTAATTACTGTCTTTTTAACACCTGATGTCTCCTGCACATCCACACTACTTCCACTGAACATTAAAGAGGGACATCAATAGAAAAAAAGAAGCGGAAGAGAGAAGACCATTCACTGAAATTTAAAAAGAAAGGCTCTTGATCTGCTGAGATTTTCTGAATTGGACAAAGATGGTTGCTTTTCATTATTTACTAACACTTATGGTTACCATTCAACTTAGCTTATATGGCTCTAACTCCCTTGTATTAGGCTTAAAGCATATCTGTACATTGTGTAATGGGCCCTCAGGGGAACCCAAGGGCCACAGAGGTGAACGTTTATCAGGGGAGGAGATCACATCCGTGTTGGCATTAGGTGAACCCTGTGGGGTTTACACTCTACCGTGTTCTCAGGGTCTTCGGTGTTTCCCTCCTCTTGGAGAGCAAAGTCCCCTTCAGGCACTGCTTCAGGGACGAGGGGTCTGCAAAAACATCAAAAGTACCATTACTGACATCCATCCACCTACAGGTAAGAGGACTGGTCTCGGTGCATCTCTTTAAACTGAGATGAAATTGATTAGTCTTAACTGGATTTTGTCTGGTTAAATACATTTTGAGGAACTGACTAACCTAAACAAACTAAACCTAAAAGATGTTTACATTAGAAAGAAAGTAAATACACTTCACATAAAATTGTGGATTTTTCACTTGGATGTGTAAAAGGATTTATAATCCACCCACACATTGCTAAAATACTTTTAAATTAGTTTTTCACATGTTTCGAAGGGATGAGAAACAAGCAAACGTATTGCAAAATGCTGATCTGTACGATTAGCAGGGTATGATTTTTTTTTCTATAATGGTAAGAATATTGTTTGTATGTTATCAGATTATCTGTTACTTCATTTCACAGTCCATGGCATGTTTGAACCTTTGTCCTGAATTAATATTTTAAGTACAACCACCTATGTGCTGTTCAATTGAACAAAAGCTATACTGCAATCATATTAAAACTACAAGTATTATGTTTCAGACTATCATCCATCAACCAATGAAAACAATTTTGAAAAGGTAATATTTTTGACTCTGTAAATTACTGTTCTACATAAATATTTATGTAGTGTTCCTACTGTCTGATTCTTAGTCAGAAATGAAAACGTTTTCATTATGTGTTTTTGCTGTTGTTATTTCATTCTGTAGGGTCCTTGTCGCAAACTGCTAAACACAGTCCTCCAAAGTATAGAGCTCACAATTATTCATTCAATTCCGGACACCTACATCCCCAACTGTGACAGACAAGGGTTCTTCAGGAGGAAACAGGTGTGTAGAGAACACAGAAGGTGTTAAAACAGTTCCCATGGTTCTTGAAAAGTTTCGTAAATCCATTTGTATATCTGTATGAGGTCATGGTGTACATTGCAACAATGTTTATATCTTCTTTTTGACATTCTTAAAACAGTGTCGGTCATCAAGAGGAATGCAAAGAGGCCACTGCTGGTGTGTTGATGAGAAAGGATCAAAAATGTCATCCCGTAAAAGGAGTGATGGAACTATCTCATGTAACAGTGCCTGAGAATTGTGATACAACTTGACATCTGATGTAAATATGGACCTGAAATCTGTTTAGTAGGGAATGAGAGAGAGTCAGACACTAAGAACTCGATGACCACAAAGCAAGTAGAATATTTACAATCATTCATCTCCCTCTGGTTGTGAAAAATATGTTTGCAGCATTGTGTGTCATAATTTCTGATGCATTATTTCTGAACTTTTTAATTATTTTTTATATATATATAATTTAATTGGTCATAAATACCATATAGAAACCGATAAAAACATTATATACTCCCTGAGTGAATGTCATTAATGTGCTGTCTGGTTTGAAATGCATGAACTATGCAGTAAGACAGTACAGTATTTTTGTATGTTGCATACATATTAACTGCTTATATATTAATATAATTAATTAATATATCAATTGTCCTTTCTTTATACATATAAACTCAGCAAAATGGAAACATCCTTTCGCATTCAACTGTCTTTATTTTCAGCAACTTTCTTAACAGCTTTAAGTACTACAGTGCAACTCATTCTCATGTTCTGCAACTGATTTGCTGGTTTTTGCTGTGAGATGTTGCCCCACTGTTACAACACACTCTTCCACCAAGACATTTGCAAGTTCTTGAACACATCTAGAGGCACACGTTTGCACATGGTTTGCCACTGCAAGGACAATCACCTGTCCTATCTCCCTTACATTACAGATATTGCAGTGTATTTCTCTGGCCACATCTGTAACCCTCATGCCTCCCTGCTGCAGGACTCTGTTCAGGCAGGTTATCAGGGACCCTGGGCATCATTTTTTCTAGTGTTTTTCAGAGTCAGTAGAAAGGTTTCTTTACTGTCCTAAGTTATTGTAACTGTGACCTTAATTGCCTTCCGCCTGTAAACTGTTAGGTTCTTAAGGACTGTCCCACAGGTGCATGTGCAATAATTATTTATACTGTTTATAATGCATTGAACAAGTATGAAAAATATTGTTTAAACCCTTTCCAATAAAGATCTGTAAAGCTTTTTTGGATTTTGCTAAATTGTCCTTAAAATACCTTATCCTGCTACCCTGAAAAAGGGATCTTTCTTTTGTTTTGGTTTTGCTGACACAAAGTAAACCCTATATGTGTCTGTGTCTGTCTGTCTGTGTGTGTGTGTGTACTTGTTTATGCTACATTGTGGGGACCAAATGTCCCCACAAGGATAGTAAAACCTGAAACTTTTGACATTGTGGGGACTGACCTGCGGCTACATTCAAACTGCAGGCCAAAGATTAACGTACCAGTATCAGTAGTTCTTTGGTCACTCAATTAATACGGAAGACAGCCATGACGGTAGTCAATGGAGGAACAGTGAAGTCTAAGTATCTTGGTGACAGTTCTATACAAGCAAAACATGAGGGAAAACTAGAAAAACTCTGTCTCCCCATTCTCATCTTCATCCTCCTTATCACCTGTGCACAAATTTTCAGGCCTTCGCAGCACATCAGCTTATAAATCAACGTGTTAAAGGGTTAGTTCACCCAAAACTGAAAATTCTGTAAATAATTACTCACCCTCGTGTTGTTCGAAACCCATAAGACCTTCGTTCATCTTCGGAACACAATTTAAGATATTTTTGATGAAATATGAGGGCTCTCTGACCCTCCCATAGACAGCAAGATAAGTTCAAGGTCCAGAAAAGTACCAAGATGATCGACAAAGTAGTACGTGTGACATCAGTTGTTCAACTGTAAAGTTACGAAGCTTGTGGACACGCGTTCATGACAGTATCATGACGCGAGCGTGTGGCGGCGCTGACCCAGATCTGGCGTAATGACATCACGCCGGATCTGGGTCAGCGCTGGCGCCGCCAGACGCTCGCGTCATGGTACTGTCGTGAACGCGCGTCGAAAGTGACGCAGTAGAGACAAAAATGTGGAATAAAGTTGTTATTTTTGTTTTCTTTGCGCAAAAAAGTATTCTCGTAGCTTCGTAACTTTACAGTTGAACCACTGATGTCACACGGACTACTTTGTCGATCATCTTGGTACTTTTCTGGACCTTGAACGTGGTAGTTATCTTGCTGTCTATGGGAGGGTCAGAGAGCCCTCAGATTTCATCAAAAATATCTTAAATTGTGTTCCGAAGAGTAATTAATGTCAGAATTGTCATTTTGGGGTGAACTAACCCTTTAAACAATTAATTCAGCATCCTCCATGTTTATAACATGCTGTACACCATCTTTTTATTGATGTACACTCTAAAAAATGCTGGGTTGTTTCAACCCAACTTTGGGTCAAATATGGACTAACCCAACATTTGTGTTAAAAATGTAATGTAAAAATTTAAAACAACCCAGCATTTTTAGAGTGTATTGCACATGTGGGTCAGTTCAAGATCGATCAGTTCAGACTCAAATATGATACTGGCCACATATCAGATTGAAATTTTATTTGGAGTGACAGATATATAAAAGCAAAACTTGAGAGATAGTATCAGAAATAATTGAAAACTTGTTTTTCTCCTCAATCTCGTCTTACTGATCGCCTTCTCATGAATCTTTTGGTGTTCACTGCACATCATTTTATAAATTAACCCGTAAACTCTGATTTCAGTGACTTGTGCATGACAGTGCGCTGCATGTCGTCTTTGTTGTTGCTTTGTGTATGCAGGTCAGTTGAAGACATGAACAGTTCACACCTGAATCTGATTTTGGCAACATTAAAAAAAGTATTGTGAACTGCAATTGAGTAAGAAGCCTCAGTAGCCTCAGATTCACAAGGCACATCCGCCACAGACACTGTCTCAGTAAGAACATATCTCCATTTGATAAAGATGAATTAATCTGGAAAACATCTCTTTTGTACAAACATCTGACAAACACCTTAAAAGAGCAGCTTTCATACATTCTAATCTGTTTAATTTTTGTCATTTACAGTCGTTTTAGAGGCGTATTTACAAATGTATATTTTATTGCAAACATTCTAAAAAAAATGCATTCTCCAAATGAAAATGTGCACATCAAATAGACATCTTGAAGATGAAAAAGAATGTGAGCTATTTCTGTATTAGTTTAGGGAACACACTAGTAGCATATAAACAAAGTAACAGGGAGGTCTGCGGAGAGAGCTATCAGCTAGCTCTCCTATTTATCTCAGTAGCAATTGTTTGTTTGGTGCACACGTGTGCTATTTTTACTTCATGGGAAAATAAATGGCCTTTAGTTATTAAAAAATAAATAAAAAATGTTTACACACTGATATTATAGCTTCAAAAGGGTCTCCAATCCTGCTCCTGGAGAGTTACCCACCTCCAGACCAATGGTCTGAGTTTGAAAGAGTAGGTTTTCAAAGAAAATAAAAATTGCAGAGAGGAAGTTTGATCGATTATTGCATAATTGGTATCGAAGTTCTCGGCATGAGCGGTCAAGATCAGTCTCATGACAATAGGCAAAACTAAACTTTCTCAAATTTCTTTATAATTTTTGACCAAGGTGTTGCTTGCCCCTTCAGTGCAAAGTGCCGATGACACATACTGAGTTTCGTGATGATACCCCAATGCATTCCTTAAATATCGAATCGTACTATAAAATTCAAAATGGCCAACACCCAACATGGCTGGCATGGGGAAAATTCGATATTGTTTATCTTTGTATGCAGCACTAAATCTAAAGCCAATCTTGTGATTTTTGGTCGAACTGTTCAGAAGTTATAAGCAAAAATAGCCATTTTGTCACATTTCCTGACCACTAGGTGACACAGTGCCTAAACTATGCAGGTATCCTCGGGTCATGGTTGTTATATCGCACACCAAGTTTGGTTCAAATATGCCAAAGCAGTGGTTCTGGCCCTCAAGGTCCACTTTCCTGCAGAGTTTAGCTCCAACCTTGATCAAATTCACCTGCCTGTAACTTTCTAGTGATCCTGAAGACCTTGATTGTCTTGTTTAGGTGTGTTTGATTAGGGTTAGAAATAACTCTTCAGGAAAGTTCACCTCAAAGGGCCAGAGTTGATAACCCCAGCAGTAAAGCGTTGCGGAGATGTAGCCTCACTTCCATTTTGGCATGCTGTTTGTCAAATTTGTTCATGTGATATTTGAGAACCATTTGACTAATCAACTTGAATCCCATAATTTTTGCTAGCATGGTCTAAAGCTGATCTGAGCCAATTTTGGAGAAAATCAGACAAACTGTCTGGGACAAGTGGCTTTTTGAATAATTAAAAATTGTGACAAGTCAAGAGCAGCAGCAGGAAGCACGTGAGTTTGTCATGGTTATTATTTAATTATTTTGCCACCGTTTGCCACACGAAACTTAGCAATAAACACGTTGAAAATAATACACAATAAACATGTCTGTCAAAACGATCTCAAAGGAGGCTTTTATTAAGCAAATTTAGGAGTGAATTACATCCACTTGTTTAAAAAAAATACTTTAGCTGGGTTTCCACAGGCAGGGTCACCATTATCTACAGTGTATGAAGCTAAAGGTTTTTGGGTTAAGATTCATAATGTAGAACATTTTTAACATTGTACAGTATGCTGTATGTGCAGGTAGCTAGCAAACAAGGAATACAGCTGTTAAGCTAATAGTCACATTTAGCTGAGTAAGATCATGATGAGAAATGTTGGATACTGCTGGAAATGCTGCTGTGAGTATCCTATTTATTATTTTAGGATTTTTTTGTTTGCCCCAGTGAAGCATTTCTATTAATATAACTGATTAAGTAGTCAAACTCATTCCATAGCAGCAGAATAGTGTGGAACAGAAAGTCTATGTCCATAAAATAGGTTCTGAGTGAATTATGTTACTGATACCTAATGGTCAAAAGCAATAGCAAAAGTAATAGGTCAATATTATTAAATTGCAGACAAAGATTTTGAATAGCTAGTATGGCTTGTAAGCTATATTGCCAACAGTATTGGGACACCCCCTTCTAATGAACAGGTTTGACTACTTTAGTCATTTCTCATTTTTAGTAAAAAAAAAAAAAAAAGCATATAATGCTATTCTAGGGAATTGTGTGCTTCTAATTTTATACCA